AGATATTATTGTTTATAGGCCTATCTAAATAATGTTACATTTAAAAACCTGTTACAATTTAAAAAAAAATCTCAAATTCACACAGGAACGTATTAATTCATGTTATAATTTAGCTATAGATGGGATTTTTTTTTTTTTTTTTACCTGACATGCCCTGTTTGATACCCAAGTGATTGTGCAGAACTGAGCATGAGATTGGTAAACATTTTCGGAAAGGCTTCGAAAACGGTATTCCTTTTACATGGCCATTAATGGTAAAACAATAAATGAATGACTGTTTTTCCTTCATATGGAGCTGGTAATGTTTGCTTGCCATTTCAATGCTTAGGCAAAATGAATTATATTTCTATCTATAGGCCTAATTTTATATTTAAAATAGCCTATGTTTTTCGTTAAACCAACATAATTATGTGAGATTTTTAAATCGAATTAGGCTATATGGAACACCCAATTACAAAATTATATTTTTTTATATTTTATTTTAATAAAATAATAAGACCTATCTACATCCTTTACACTAAAATTAGAATATTAAATAATAATAATAATAAGTCAATAAATACATGTTTGAGCTAAAATAGCGATGTTAATGCAGACAAAGTCTGGCCTGTGTAATCGTTGTTAGGGGAACCATTTAAGAGGTTACCTACTGTAGTGCATTTAGTAACTCTTGATAATAAAAAGTTAATAATTATGAAATGTTCCATTCGCATTATTGTGCTGTATGTTTTTGTCTTTGTTGTCAGCGTTTGCGTATTGTAATAATTAATAAGATACATTGGCTATTATCATCATCGTTTTACATTTTTTCAATAAATTGAGGTATTTATAAAATAAGTATAAAATATAAATCTACTACAATGGTGCTGTTTAATCAGTTTGATTTTTGATTTGGCTGTTCAATGTTAGGACTAAAAGTGTCAATGAATTAATTATTTCTTATTTTAGTTCATTTTATTTATTAGCTTTTTTCTCGAAAGAGCCATACAGTTGAAGACAAAACCTAAATATTAAATAATAATAATATGAGCAGACGTGTAGGCTACTGGATAAAACATAAGTAGCCAATATGTTCATTTTTATTTATCAAAAAACTAGGCTAACAAAAATCTTACACCTCTTAGAGAAAATAATGTGGTAAAGTAGGTTACCGTAGGCTATACTTTAAATCATCATTTAGCATACTCACAAATTCAACCCGTTCCGTTTATTTAACGGTTTTTAGAAAATGTAGGCTATATAAGACACGAGAAAAAAAAAAATAATAATTTTGTGTAAATTTAGGCTGTTTTTCTGCCGTAGAACTCATATTCAAACCAATATTCATTTCCATCAATGATTAGTTTGTCGTGGATAAAGACTTCATGTTCGATTTTGGCGGGATTAGTAAAATATTCTCGTGAATAGCAGAATATCCATCAGAATAAGATGGCATACATTTTCCTATAATAACAGATGTACAGTAGCCTATATCAAAAATTTTTAATGAGTTATGCCTGTTTGAGAAAATACGGAATTTTTAGAGTTTGTAGCCTACACGTCCTTGTTCTGCTAACGTTTAACTGATTACGTTTACCTGTAGGTCTTGACGTAACGTTTACGATGAAACTTTAACCTTCTGATGTATTCCTACAAGTATTGAGCAGATCTTATATTTCTGCACGCAGGTATGTCACTAAGAGCAAGACCCTGCCACTTAGCAACAGCGGAGCCAATGAACGGACTCCAAATATTTCCACCTACAAGCGGTGCCAAGGCAACATACTAAAGAACGTGATGACGTCTGGCTGTGCACTAGAGTATTATGGGCTGTATGGAATTCTGAAGCTAGAGCAGGCGGACCGGACTCGCGCTCACGGCTAGCTACGCTGCAAGCTAACGGTAGACGAAGGTAACGTTAAACATGGAGCTGTCGGCTGTCGGAGAGAGGGTGTTCGCGGCCGAATCGATCATCAAGAGAAGAATACGACGGGTATGTGTTGTGGAAGAGATATCTCGACATTTTTTGCATATATGTGCTAATGTCGTCGGCTCGCGCTAACGAATTCTTTTGTGTGTGTGTGTGTGTGTGTGTGTGTGTGTGTGTGTGTGTGTGTGTGTGTCTGATGGCACGCGCAGGGTCGAATGGAATATCTCGTGAAATGGAAAGGCTGGTCGCCCAAGTGAGTAATACATGCCCATCCTATGTCTGTTGTGCCTTGCACTGGTGTTTTGGTGACAGTGATGGCCGTCAACCCTGCTATTTATCGCGAGGGGCGTACATCCACTGGCAGGTTAACAATCTGGTTATTACTGCAGACTGGTTTTGGCAGATGGCATGCTGCAACATTAGCTGGCCCTGCTAGCTGGCCGGTAGAGCAGTGGTTTCAATGCAGCTAAAGATTGACAGTCATCACGTGAAACTTTTTTGTTCTCACAGGTACAGTACTTGGGAACCAGAGGAAAATATCCTAGACTCACGCCTATTCGTTGCATTTGAAGAGAGGTATAAAATAAATAAAGTAAAACTATTAGGCGGCCGAAAATACAGACGTTTTCACACTTGCGCTTGTATTTTCATACAGGGAGCGTGAGAGAGAAATATTTGGACCCAAGAAAAGAGGACCTAAGCTCAAGACTTTTCTTCTAAAGGTTAATGTCATTTATTTATTAACAAATAAATAATAATAATCCTGAAATGATCTATATTGTGTATAATATTGTGTATAATATTATTATTAGGTTTGCACTATTTATTTATTTATTTTTTGTCTGTGTAAATGAATACATTTTATATAAGGGCATAATTTTGAGTTCTGTGCTAATTTTTCAAACACATGTATTTTTCACAGGCCCAAGCTAAAGAAAAGGCGAAGTCTTACGGATTTAGAAATGAATCATCCAGAGGCATTGCATATCCCAGTCCAGAGCCTTTGGTGACCCCTAGAGCGAGAGAAGGACTACGTTCTGTGGTTCCCACAATTTTCCCTCCCAGCACAGTCAACCGAGGGGAGAGCGTAAGGATTCCACCTCCAGAACCAAGGGAGCATCGTTCTCCACACTCACCCAGACCCAGCACTGATGCTTTTACCCTCACACCAAAAAAGAGAGGACGGAAGCCCAAATTACGCTTCACAGATGGCTATACTAGCTCCTTACATCCAGAGCATTCAAAAAGAGCAGCAGACGAAACCATGGCAAGCATTCCTTCCAAAATGGCAAAGTTAGGTTTGGGAGAAGAGGAAGAGAGATGCTCGGAAATAAGTGGGAGAATTAAGATATCTCATAAGCACATGGATGCTACCTATTCACACAAACAAAACAGAGTTGTTCCAGAGTGGAGTTTGCATTCCAGCAGTGTTAGTGCAGACTTACAAGGCCACAGGACTAATCCACAGACAAGCCACTTTCACCATAAACACCTGAAGCACTATTCAAAACGAAGAACATTTGAACGTGGTGATTCCACCAGCAGACAGCCTTCACTTATTGCCAAAATTCCAGTGTCACGCATATTTGGAGAGCCAGAGGAGGGAGATGCTTGGAGACCCACCTTCTGCAATGTGGAGAAAGTCATAGTTACCGATGTGACATCGAACTTCCTGACTGTAACAATCAAAGAGAGTAGCACTGATAAAGGCTTCTTTAAAGACAACAGATGATTATTTACTGCAGCCAGTATGCTCCTTTCATCTCTTCAGAAGTCCTTTGTTGTCGAAAATATTCTGTGTATTGCATAAAAAAAATCTTATTCCCTTTTCTGTCACACTGAAATCTGTATTTATTGTGAAATTGTTGCTTTAAGAAATTTGCATGCACTAGACACCATAAACAAAACCAGAACTGCGTTCAAATACATTAACGAGTTCTCAGATCATTTGTTATAAGTATTAATTACAAATTGTTTATCTATAAATATATAAAAGTATCATTTTTGTCTCCCAGACGAATATTAAAACATTTATGTACAGACTAAGTCTTGACATTTTGCACACTAACCGTCATATTGTTTTTGCGCCACATCATTACCTTTTCAATTCTTGTAATTTACGTTGATTTTATTTTGTCATTTAATATCGCCAGTTAACTTATACACTTGTTTCACGGTACAGCGACATTAACAATTTACACACATAAAAGTGTAACATGAAAATCTAATTTTCATCTCAAACGTAAAGTGTATAATAATGAACACGTTTCTTTTGTTTCTCTTTATTTCAGCTCAAATTCGTATTTATAAATATGTAATGTTAAATTGTATAAACTTAAAGACTTCTAATTATTTTGTAGGGCGTTTGTAATTGTGATTATCGATGAATTGTGCGAATAAAAGTTCTTTAATGTGACATTAAATAGAAAAGCGCACATCCAATGTCTACTCGAATCCTACACGATCATAATTTTACAATATGTATATGTGTGTGTATTAGTCCTGTAAGTAATAAAAAAACACGTAAAACGTACATTTATGCTTATTTGCCCAGTTAGAGTAGCATTTAATGCAAAACGAGATGTCGTTAAGGAAAACAGCTACATTTTAAAGTTCCCAAACATTTAACTTATACAGTGTTATACAATGGTGGAACTTGATTCCATTTTACAGCCTTTTATTTGTTTATTTATTTGGACTTTATGGTTTCTTTTGTGACACGTAACAAAATGTAAACTTTCAGGTTTACACAACACATTCATAGTGCTTTCGATCAATCAGTGTTAGGCCTCCAGATATTGCCGTGTAAAGGTCAAAAACTCTTGGCGTCATCAGTCTTTTAAACTTTTTATATATTTTTTTTAGTTTCGACTTTATATCATAATGAAACTAAAATACTACTTCAGCCCGAAAGATGAAAATCACAGTCACAATCAAAATTTAGAGCACAACATTTATTTTATTCACGAGTCTCTTATTCAAAATGCAATTTTGTAATTCGTTTTTATTAAAAAAAAAAAAATCTTCTAACGATTCTAAGATTTTTCATCTAAATAAGACATCTAAAATGGGTCTACACTATCGATAGGTGTGTGTCTTCGTGGATTTTGTGTGCTTGGCCTCGGCGTTTCTGGGTCGTTTCGTTCTCATTGAATCCATTTCATGGTGTTTTTCAGCTTTGTCGTCGCCGGAATTCCTGTCTAGGCCCTGAAAAAAAAAAAAACTTTGAATTGTTTTGCCCTCAGATACGTAGGATTTTAGTAGCCTAAATATAAACCGTTTTCCATGATAAAACAGGATTTACATTTAATATGCCTTCTTTAAAAGCCAAGGCAGAACTAAGACAAAAGACAGTAGCCTACATAAAGAAAAAAACATCCCATATGATGTAAAGAGTGTTAACAATTATTAATGCCTTCAACCAAATGTCTAGACACACTGCAAATCTAATTACTTTCTTCACCAATTCTCTTTTATTATAAGGAAAAGTGTGAATGTAAACAATTTACGTAATATGTGAAATCATGATAGTAAGCTCAAACATTGCAGTCTTCAGTGAGATTCAAAAGCTGAGGGGTATCAGAACCTGTGGATCACAGCAGGCCTGTTACACAGGGTAGCCGTAGTTGCGGTCACAGCGAGGGAAGCAATGAGGGTTCATCCAATGCTCCATGCTGGTCTCCTGAGCCCTCTGCTCCAGCCTCTGCATATGCAGCATGTGTTCCTGAAATACACGTGAACTCTGAATTCTACTGACATGGAGCTAAGTTCACTTATTGATTTGTTTTTGAATTTTGGTATTTAAAACCAGCACAAAGCAACATTGTGAACAGATCTTTACTATCACAAAGAATTACAGCCAGGCTCCCATGCATGATGTTTTCTTAAGCTTTGTTATTAAGCATGTAAATAAAAGGAGTCTGTTGTTGGCACCCAACCCTCATAGGTTCATCAGGGTGTCCAGGCTTCTGTCTCTTGGTGCGGAGTAGCTGCTTTGCAAAACTCTCCTTAATGATGGGGCTTGCATCTAGGAACATGACATATATGTGTATCAAGATCACAAATTCATACTGTAATTTCATTGTAATGACAACGTGATTTATTCTTGTGAATACATTTAACGGATTGATTTGTCTAAATAACTAAGGGGTTGCCTATATGAATAATGTAAAACATGTCACAACATTTGATTAATTATGTATATTTTTTATGTAGTATACAAATGAGATTACCAAAGACTTTAATTTGTGTCATTTAATATTAGCCTACCAATTTCTCCTTCTGTCTTTCTTTTTACTACATGCTAATTTTATTTTTTCCATTCTTCCGCAGGCGGCCATTCTTCCTGTGAACCTTTATTCTTTCAGATTTCCTCGAATCTTTTGGGGGTCTAATTTGTATGAATGTTGGCCTTTCTCTTTCCTTCTTTCTTCATCTCGCTCCCTTTTTTTTCTCTCTTTCACACAGACATGCACGCACACACATACACTTCACTCACTTTCTCTCCTGCCTCCCCATTTCAACCCCTCCCTCCTTTTCCCAGCGCTGTTTCTCTATGGAAGAACACAAAGTGCCCATTCATGAGCGGGTCTCCCCGCGGAGCGTGACCTGGAGCTCTGACCCGCGGGGGGTATGAAAATGAGCCCGTAACGGTAAACACCGACGTGGCAGATAAACAGCCGCACCACGTTTTTCAAAGCAGTTTTTACACGTTTCGCTCACGTTAGTCTATAATTAGATACGATTCTTTAATTTATAGGGATGGGCAGGGTGGGTGAAATTATCACATAATTTAAAAGACTAGTTTATTCAGCCGTCACATTTTCAGCAGCTAGCCTAAAACAATAGGAATAGAAATATATTGAATAGGATGGGATGGAATAGGAATATATAAAAACTAATAGGCCTATAGCCTAAAATGAAAACATCAAAAAGCAATAAAAAAAATAACTACGCAAATTTTGAGTTTGCTATAGTATAGGGTTGAGTATAGACATTAGAAATCGTTAAGCAAGTGAGGGGGATAAAACAATGACAAAGTATTAGGCGTAAACATCATGAAAATAATCGCACAGAAATATACACTCATTTCTGTCTTTACTAGAACTGCAAGTAGGCCGAAAAGAAAATAGCCTAGGTATTTATTTCAAAAGTCATTATCCAAATATTCCAAAACGCTCTGATTTTACATGAAAATAAGACTCGCTAAAACAAGTAATAGGCCTATGCACACAAACGTCACAACCCACAGTGATAAGAAAAACAAAAACACTGTAATATGCAAATAAAACCCATGGTATAAGATTTCTGCAAGAAAAACATACCAGTGCAGAAGGTCAATAAGATCACGCAAAAAAGGCATACCAACAGCTTCATTTTCATTTCCGTCCGTCCTCAGTTCGAAATAACTGCACTTGAGTGTTTACCCAACTTATGAGGAGGAAAAATACACGACCCCACAGCACCCCTGCTTACAGGCCACTGGATAGGCTACAGAAGACGACTCCTGGCTGCACATCTGGATGAGACTGTAGTTACAGACATTTTCCACAAGATGTCGCCTTTACTTTAAATTAAACGTCAATGTCTAGGCCTACGACCCTGCTACACAATGGTTAAAACACTGATCTGAGTAACACAACCTGTTTTTTTTTATAGTAATTCTACAAAGTTTAACTACACCTGACAGTTTCATTTTTTTTTTTTAAGTTCACAGCACTTGTCCCTCCATAATTAACATTTCTTTTGGTAGCAACGGAGCAATAACCCACCTTTGTTTGTTACATCTTTTTAGTTGTAAGGGAAGATGAATATAAGAAGAGCCTTTGAGCTTTGCATTGGCTATGGACGCCCTCTGTAACAAACTCTGTTTACAGTATGTTATACAACAACTTTTTATGCTGCAAAATTAGCTTATTTTTTGTACTTGTGGACAGGCACAGTGTGTGCTCAAGGGCTTCAGTATCAACACTTTCTTTAGTATTTACATTTTATTGCATGTTACATGCACCTGACTTGTTTACTGGTATAAAGGCTTTATTTAGTTAGTTTTTTTTTCTCCGCCTTCAGGGCACAGTTTGCATTTGACTCATAACAAATATAGTACAAATTTTCATAGTAGTAGGCATTTTTATTTACTCTGAAATTTCTTTATTGATGTAGAAATTAAGAACATTGCTATTATATCGTTGCATTTAATTTCCTAGGTGTTAGTTTTGATTCTGAATTTTCCTCTCAGTAGTTTTTGTTTACTGTAAGATGGATCAGCAGATGAAAATGCTCTTGGTTAGGCAAAATGTTTTCTTCTGTGAAAATGTTTTTTCATATTACTCATGTTACTCATATTACTATGTTCTCTGTTTCAACTAGTTTTTGTTCTTGTAAATCTAGCTCTCATATAAAAGTAGCCATAGATCCGAGAGCTCAAGTGGAAAGTTTTGTATGACTGTACAGTATTGAGAAACTTTCACATTGACATATCAAACTCAGCGAGTCTCTCAGGTTTCCAGTGTTCAGTTATTTTGTTGTTTGTAATATTGGTCCTAAATATCACTGTTAAATACCTCTCTGTCTCTATCTGCAAAACATTAGTATTCATGCCTACAAGTGAATCGCACACTTTATTTACTGGATGCATATATTTGGTTCATTTCTTGAATTTAGCTGCTTGACTATCAGTGACCGCAGAAAGAAACTTGGGTCATTATATTACAAGTGCAAACTGTAAGAAGGTGCTTAATCAGACAAGCAGTAGAAATGATAGTGTTCACTGTTTTTCATATTGCTAGTTAAATGATAATTGTAAGAAACCACAGATTGGGATAAGAGGGGAGCAGTTATAATAAACTCAACTGAAAAAAAAACATAATGGTTAAAACCTGATCGCTGTGGTTTTGTGGTTGCCAGAAATTTATTGAAAAAACAAACAAACAAATAAATATAGCATCAATGTTTCAGGCATTATGAAATAGCATTTTGGTGTCTGTGTATTTCAGTAACTGAAATAATGTTAATATTGGCTATCCAGACTACAATAATCTGATTTGTACCTGACAAGCACCCATACAGTAGATGGCTACATAATAAATTGTCATCAGAAAGGGCCTTTCAATTGTTATTGATGTTTATGTTATATGTTTATGTTATAAACATGAATTGAAAGTACACATTTACTCACACAAAACACTGCAAAATCAAAGAAATAGACTAATAAACTGTTATATGCATTAGCATACAACAACATAAAACATAACATTAACACCTCTATAACATATATATATATATTTATTTATTTATTTATTTATTTATATTTATATGTATATAACATTTCTGCCCCCCTCACTTCTGAAATGATGGCTACGCCCCTGCTTAACGGTCATACTGTGAAGCATAAAAATCGTGCAAATGTTACGGTTCTCATTCTGTCTCACGTATTGTGTTCCTATTGGTCACTGAACATGTTCCGCCATAAACCCACGTCATCATTTCCGTTTCCGTATATTGAACTAGATGAATCTGGTAAGGTTTTTAATCGCTTTTTGTGTTATTCCAGTGGTTTCAAAGCACTTTTAAAATGCGTGGATAACAAAGATGAAGACGGGATCTTCCCCTTGAAAACAAAATGTACCTAGAACATATACGTGAATGCATTTATCTGCTGTAAGTACAATTTGTCTCGCTTTACCAAGTGTTTGACAGCAAGGAGGTGTTTACGATGGCTGTGCTGTAATACAAGTGTGACTCGGGTTTGGTGCATCGCCTGGCGATGCGATGATGATGTGCTGCTCGGATGGGGTTAGAAATAGAAGCTCGTTGTGGGACGTTAAAACTTCCACACCTTGACTAATGACGATCGCTGGCAATCACTGATTATTTTCATCTGATCTGACTTGTGCATGACGAAATTCCTGTAAAATTAGAATTGTGGCTATGGAGGAGAGTACTGAGCTGAGGGAAGAGTGGACCTTGCTCCTCTGGACCACGGTTGCTGTTCTGGTCCCAGTGCTCATCACACTGTGGTGCAGCTTCCAGCGTCCCAAACGCAAAGTTCAGCTGAAAGATCTGTTCCGAAAGAGCAAACATGGCTGGCACTACACGGACCTGTTCAACAAGCCCACCTACTGCTGCGTGTGCTCTCAGCCCATCCTGCAGGGGGCGTTCTGTGACTGCTGCGGCATATGTGCGGATGAGGAGTGCATACAGAGGGCAGATCGCATCCTCTCATGTAAGGAGATCATGACCCAGAGTCAGACAGATGGGAGGTTTTACCATCAGTGGGTCAGGGGAAATGTGCCCCTCGCCAGCTACTGTGCCGAGTGCAAACAGCAATGCGGGAATCAACCTAAACTCTGCGACTATAGGTATTTAATATGACCATGAGTTTTTCTTTCTTTCTTTCTTTCTTTCTTTCTTTCAGTAAAACACTAATTATGATGCGAAATAGCCTCCTAAATCAGGATCTAAAACAGTCATATATTTTGATATATTAAACTTGTACCACAATTTTGGACAAAAATGAATAACCTTGTTTGAGGAAAATATGAAAGGGAAACGGATAAAAGAAAAATTGATATTCATATTTAATGTTTTAATTAACGTAGGAAAAAAGAACAACTGCATTTTCACATGATCAACTTTAAAGGTTTCAAAATGTAATGAACGGTTTGTGAAAATAAGAATTAATTTATGTATTGAGGAAAGAACAAGGCAAACAAAACAAGCTTCTAGCATGGGTTTGAACTTTTTAAGATGAGAAAGAAAGTACAAATAGCATCTCTAACTATAAACAACAATAACAAATTATTTTGAAAAGAACCGATACCCACGGTCCTAGATCTTCCATAGTTATAACAATATTTACAGAAGTCAAAGTCAGTATTTACAAGAAAATGTTAAAGAACAGACAGGTGTTTTTACATCTTAACTTAAAGCAAAAAGGATGGCAGAATGGCAACAACTTTAGACACTGTTCAATAGCAGCAGAGAGCACACAGCCTAGAACAGAACTTGAAAGCGTCTGTTGAAATCCATTTTTGTTAAGGCTGTGGCACTTTAAAATACGTCCCTGACTGTTGAACAAACAGAGCAAACCAGAAGCCTGTCCTTTTCTCTTGTGTTTAATCTTTCTAAAGCATGGTTTGATTAAAGAGTCAGTAATCCCTGTAATCCAGCTATTATGACCAGGTCCGTCCACCTCAATCCTCAATGTCAAAGGTAGTGCTAAACTGGTGCCAGGTCTGCTTTTGCTAAGGCTCAAACCAAAAGAAGTGCTGATTTAAAATCATTTCAAAATTATTTGTGCCATTTTTTATGATTTATTAAAAGTATATTATGTGCAAAATAAGAAATCTTACTGTGAGTTTTACTACAGAGGGTTTGCAGTCAGTACAGCTACCAAGCTACCAGTTCTAAGTGCCCGCACTCACATTTTTTGTTTTTATTTTTAAATATATATAGGTGTGTATGGTGTCAGACCACAGTGCATGATGACTGCCTTTCTAGTCTGAATGATGATTTGTGTGATCTTGGAGAGTTCCGCTCTGTTATCATACCTCCATATTACCTCTATCAAGTCAACAAACTCCACCGAAGACACCCTGATGAGTACAGCAAGGTGAGGATCCATCCACAAACACAAAGATATGTAAAAAAATTTACAACAATTTTTTTTTAATTTTTAAGCAGGGCACAGAGGTTATTGGTCCAAAAACAGCTTTTGTTGAAACCAAGCTGCCAAAATGACTAGTTTTCTATTTTTTTTTTTTTTTTTGTCTTAAAGGAGACATGCCTGTTTTAAACCAGAGGTACAAAAACGGAATAAAATGCCTATTTACTTCTACTAATTTATTTCTATTAATTTTTTTATAATAATCTTTATAATAATTATAAGTATGAAACATTGTGTCCCATTTTACATACTTTTGCACTATTCTTCACCATTGTGTAGTGTAAGTTCCTGGCTGATGTACATGTTCATTGTGCTTGTTTTTACATATATGATATACAGTAGTAGTAACCTGTTGAGAACAATTGACAGAACTTTAAAGGATAATTCATTTTGTGTAGTTTTCTTTTTCAAATGTAATTTCGGCATATATGAATGTAATTTATATTGTTGTCACAAACACATAATAATCAAACCAGAAAATGTATAGGTATACAAAATGATTAACCATTAATCAAAAAGCAGTGTAATAAATGTCAGATGTATTGCTTTTATATGTAAAAGTGTTTTAGACTGACATCTTTGACTTTTTCAGCATCTTTTTTCAGCATGAAAAAATGCAACTTGCATCTCGAGTCACTGCATTATTTCCATTCTTTAATGCAGTATTTGTGTTTTTTAAAAAAGTGACAAAGGCTTTTATTTGAAATGA